CTCCAATGCTGGATTAATTATGAACTTTCAAGCCTAAAAAAAACACTTTTCTCAATATTTGCAGCATAAGGACATCATTTCTAGATTCTACATCACCCGCACTATTACCACACAAAGAATCAAGCATTCTACTGTACTTTCAAGTTTAATAAAAACACTTTTCTTAATATTTGCAGCATAAGGACATCATTTCTAGATTCTACATCACCCGCACTATTACCACACAAAAAATCAAGCATTTCTACTGTATCATTCTGAAGAAAACTCACATTCCATGTGCAAGATTTGAAATCCAATACTGGATTTAGCAGGTGCTTGATGTTCTACCCTGTCTTTACTGTTATAAGCAACAGGCTATATTTATCTGAAGCACTGGCTGTAAGCTGCAACTGTGGACTTCAGACCAGCTCCAATACATACCAATGGATGATGTCATGCCATCCTTATGTCCACGCTGTAGCCTGTCAATGATAATGCTTCTGCAGTAGTTGTCACACCGGACAGAGGATTCTTCTGTTTTACTCTGCCCTCACTGCTGAGTGCTGCAGGAGGGGAGGAGTGTTTAGACCCCACTGGGACCTGCAGAGTGAACCTGCTATGTCTGCTTTGCTGCAGGTCCAGTCCTCTCACGTCTTCCCTGATAATAACACAAAGTCATACAGCTAAAGTACAGTGTTGGGATTGGCTCCAGCTCCTCTGAACTCAATTCTGTCATAACAAGGTTCAGGTGGTTAAAACTGGATTCATTAGAGCTCACAATGTTGGCACTCTGCTTCCAGTCTGAGCCGAACATCATGGTTTATTGTCCAAATACACAGGTGGTAAATAAAAGCATGCTGGTGGTTTGTTTTCAGCTGACACTAACTCACACTTCTTGGCAGCAGCAAATCATTTGAATTGTCTTGATCATCCTGATGATCTCTGATTAGCAGAGACGGCATCCATCCCACTTTGGGTGGTGCAGCTCTTTTATCTAGAAATCTGGACGAGTTTGTTTTACAACCTAAATTATGACAACCCAGAGTTGAGTCCAGGATGCAGGGTCGCAGTCTTACACGCCTCTCTGCTGTCTCCCTTGCAGCTGCTACCCACCCAACGCTCCCAGTACCCCATAGAGACTGTGTCTGCCCCCCGCCCACCTAAATTATATAAATCAA